TAGTTATTTGCGCATTCATCAAACGTTTGTCGGAAAATTAGCGGTTTTTACCTGAAAGTACCACGTTTTTGTCTTTATATACAGTGTCTTGTAAAAGTATTCATCCCCATACCAATAATGTCACATTTTGATGAAATACAACTAATGTAAAAAATTTTTTAATTAACTTATTTTAATTCATAACTCTAATGATCAAAGTTAACACTGTTATGTGTGAAGGAGGTTGAATGTCAGCAAAACCTACAAAGAAAATATATAAATTGGAATTTACTGATTGCATAAGTATTCATCCCCTAAGTTAGTACTTATATTTCATAAAATTTTAAAGGAACTAAAAGGAGCTTATTAGCCCATCAAGGATGTTCCTTCCAGCTCCCAACTATAACCACCCCTTACTACTCATGTATTCAACCAATCTTTTCTTAAACTCAAAAATTTTCTGCCTCCATCACCCTTGAAGTAAAATACCCTGTTTGAAAAGTAATACTGTCTAAACTGCAGACGACTCCTACGCTGCCAAAATTTGAATTTATGACCCATTGTTCTCTTGTTTTCACTGCTAAACACAAAAAAGTTTGGATCTATATTATCAATACCCTTAATAATCTTCAACACCTCAATCAAATCTTCTCTGATCCTTATCCTCTCCAGAGAAAACAAGTTTAGAGATTTTAGTCTCTCCTCGTACAATTCCACCATCCCTGGTATCTTCTCTGAACCTTCTCCAACAATTCAATGTCCTTCTGGAGGAAGGGAGCCTAAACTGTACACAGTACTCCAAATGAGGCCTTACAAGTGATCTATAGAGTGAAACAATGATATCCCTTGTCTTGAATTCAATATTTCTACAGATGCTACCCAAAGTCCTATTAACCCTATTGCTAGCTACAATACACTGTTTAGATAACTTAAGTGATTTTTTTCGATCACAACACCAAGATCTTTTTCTTCAACCACAGTATTTAATGTATTCCCGTTAAAATTGTAACAATAATTTGATTTGTGAAAACCTACATGCATCACCTTACATTTTGGATAATTAAACATCATCTGCAACGTATTGACCCAATCCATCAAATGATCTAAATCTCCCTGTAAGTCTACAGCATCTGTGATACAGTTAGCCACCCCAAAAATCTTAATGTCGTCTGCAAACTTCAATATGGCAGTTATGTTGCCCAGTGTGTGTGTTTGCCAATTTCAACTGTTTGTTCGGTTCTTCCGTGGACAACTTTGGCAGTATTTCTTTACTGCGTTGCAGCTCTTGGCAACACTGGAAGATGATGACCAACGTGTAACAGTTCCTATACACCTCCATGATGTTAAGGGTACAGTGTGTGTGGTTTAGTGGCTGAATTTGTTACTGGACCATCCTTGTTGTTTTTGTTTTGTGAAAAACCATCAGCACATGAACTACAAACTTACACAATTAGTGCTGCCGTGCAATTTTCATAGCCGATGTAATTCCCAAACTGATAGGCACTACGCTTTTCCGCATATGTTAAATGTTGCGGAACAACAATAATAATTAGATTAAAATCAACAACCGTGATTGGATAGTGAAAATAGCACGAGCCGCTCTGATACGGCCTTTCAGTTTTTAATTAGTATTGAACAAAGTTTAATCGAAAGTAATAAATATTCGGGGCACTAACAGCACTAGAACGTTCAAGAAATAAAACTAAATATGTATTTATTATTTACGGGGCTTAAACCAACGTTTTTCTACTGCCAGCAAAGTGTTTCGGTACCCGAATGTAATACGAAGGTGATGTGATGCACGAGAAATTACGTTTAATATTTGTTTGTTTATTGTTAAGCTACACAGTAAGCTATCTGTGCTGAGTATCGAAGCCCGATTTTTAGCGTTACAAACCGTTCAGTCGCCAGGGAGGGAGGGGAGGGGGCACATGTAATGTAGAAGTAAAATTTTTGTAGTATATGAATACTTATTTTATAATTTTTGTACATATATAAAACGTTTGAATGAATGATACATTTTACTTTCATTAGGATAATATCAAGAATGGATCGTGTACTTTTCAATAAATATTTAGTATAAAAATGTTTATCCTTTGATATGCAACACTTAACAAAGCAAACCCGTCACCTTGGCACGTGCTATTGTAGGGATAAGTGTACAATCATGTTATTACATAAGATAATATACTTATGTGGGCAACATTTGGACAGGAAACTTTCCGTTCAAAATTAAATAGGACGGTAACTGAAAATAAAACATTTTGCGTAATAAACAAAAAAACATTGAATAATAATAATATTAAAAAAACTAGTATAAACAAACCGACCTTGAATGGAGCTACTCTTACGTCCCGCTAGGTGGCGGATGGATAAAAACTCTGTGTACTTTATATTCTTCTTTTTTTTTTTTTCATACTACTTGCACGTGTCGACCTTGATTCTTTTGTTTTTATTTCCCTTTTTTATCTGGTTGCTACCGTAACTAACGTGAAAAACATCCAGCATTATTTACGTTAAATACTCATCTTGGATTCGGTTTTTGGTATCTTGTAACATACTGTCTGTGAATATATTTAATTAACCACACGGATGCTAAAAGTAATGATTCCAAAATTATTAGTGAGATTAGTATTTAATTCAAATTTTACAGTGGCGAACATCTTTTAAAAATAAATGGAACATAATTTGGGATTGCGAGTGTGAAAGTTTACATTATGAATTGTTCTTTGTGCTGGCTGGTATGAATCTTGTTAAATAAACATCCCAAGAAAGGTAAAGCTATCTTCTGGGAAGATCATAAAAAGGCCACCAGATCTGTGCATTTATTATTATTTACCAGTATTCTGTGTGATAAGGGTGAATTCTTCTTAAATATTAGATCAGTTTACGGTTGTAAAATTTATCAGATAGTTTTTAACGTGACAATTTTAAATGCTGTTTTGTTGTTGTTTTCTTAGCGACTTTAAACAAGTTTCTTTGGCTATTAAAAACACAATCTTTCGATAAACATTGACCATCACAAGGTAGATTAATCATGCTATGAAAACATGAAGCTGAGCCTATTTGTCTGTACATTTATGTATTCTACCCCACTAATATTTCCAACTAAAATGAACCTTATCCACGATTGAGAAAAAGTAATTTTTGAAAGAATAATTTCCACCGTGAGAAATTACTGACATAAATATTCACAGTCTGGGACAAGAAGTGAAAAAAAGATACAGAAAGAAATGTTAAACAAAAACACTTGTATAAACAAAGAATGGCTTTATGTAAAATATTGGTGGTAAATTAATTATTTCTGCTTCTCAATGACAAAAATATTCATAAAAAAAAGGTTTATTGAATCTATACGTACTAACAGCGTGTCACCATGACAACAGTAGTATAATCGGTGGCACCTTGTTTATTCCAGTTTTTAGCAGCAAGCGTAAAAGCACGCTCCCAGTGGAAAGTTACATAGCCAATGCGCAAGCGCCACGTAGTGGTACATTTCCAAACCACTGTCAAGGCGTGTGCCGTGTCTAAGCACGTGTAATGTCACCTGTTGGTACCGGTTGTAGCTTCTCCGATGTCAATATCGCTTTAAACTTTACAACGTTCTTCTATTAAATGCGGCATAATAGATATTCTAAAATAAAGAAAATGGGTAAGGTAAAGAACTACATTAAAAATCTTTCAAATTTGAACATAATAAAAAAATCTTGGTTATCTACAACAAATATTATCAACAATTTCTTGCTGACAAACCCAGACCGTCCGTTGTACAGCTTTATGTTTGAACAAACAAACTGTGATAATATTATTAAGTGAAATTAATGCCAGCTAATGTAAGAATTTGATTTAACGAGTCTCTTGTCTTAGATATGAAATACTTATGAAAAAATTTACAAAAGATGTCTTTTAATGAAGTAATATAAAATATTATTTTATGAACAGTACTTTCATAAATACTAAAATAATTTTTTTATCAATCTCATATATTCCGTCCATGTTATCAATAGTCGCACTTATACTTTTGCAAATAGATTGTTTGTAGTTAAGCGCAAAGCTACACAATGGGCTATCTGTGCTCTGCCCACCACGGGTGTCGAAACCCGGTTTCTAGCGTTGTAACTTCGCAGACATGCCGCTGTGCCACTGGGGGGCCTTTTGCAAATTACATAAACAATTTTTAAATTTATTAAAACTGGCTACGAGTTTTGAGGACTAGCAAGCGTGATACAATACACACAAGTTTGTCTAAATCAAATTATAGTTAACTTTTTTTCAGCAACATTACAAAAAATTCAATATCTTTAAAAGTAAATTACGATTATGCCCCATTTTAGAAAAATCAAAATACACAAGACAATATACTCAGATTTCCTTAATTATGAAAACCGCTTTGACTTTATCATTTAAAAAGGTACGCTTAGTTTCATTCGTCAAACGTAGAAACTATTTTACTTTCGCACACTCTCTCCGCGCAGGAAAGCTTGCAAAGTAAAATTAATAATTGTATATAAATATAGTGTGAATTTTGTATCAGTAATCCTAATAAAGACTTTTTCAGTTGCTTTACCATCTAAAGATACAAGGCTTAGTTAAAACCATTCAGCCTGGCACGTACAGTCCTAACCAGTTTGTACCGCTCAAACCCATAATCACCTTTCATGCACGCTGTACTTTGCGCTACCGTGACGCAGCAAAATCGTTTCTTGTGACGTTCGAAGAGGCAAGTTCATATTGTCCAATCAGAAGCTAGAAACATTACGTTAGTAGTGTATGAATAGATTAATACTTTTGCATCAAACAAATTAATCCCTCAGTAAATCTGGTTTCATTTTGTTATTACACAGTTATTAGGATATAATAAAACATTTAAATTCTTGGACAACTTTTTAATTTCTGGTAAAAGTATAAATTGTGTGAAAATGAACTTTTTGAAAGTAGTCATTTTGTGTCACGTGCTGTTCCGCGGACGAACATTGTATGTTAAAAGTTGATATATAGCTTATACTTACTACGCAGTAATCAGAACGTTACTGACTATTTACGCGCAAGTGGAGTGTTGCGAAGTGAGAAAGAATTAAACGATTTTTACACTGTTTCATCTTATTGTGCAATCATTTTACTGTTAAGTAAATCACCCAGGGCAACTAGCCCTTGCATCAAGACGGCTTCATACCAGGCACATGTCGGTGTGGACTGCTTACCCAGTAATCTTTCACCATGTTTGATTGCTTCTCCAGGCATGGAATCACCGTACATGTATGACGGTTCGCTTCACGAACTTGAAGACGTTAAGCCTAACGTGAGTGTTGGTAGTTCGGTGTTACCTGTCAACATTGACTGTTCGCAACCAGAGCTTGCAGAACTGAATTCCCCAGAGTTTTCATTTGACCTGCAAAATTTTATTAACTCTAATATTTCTCATAGTAATTCTCTGAACGACACTTTTTCTGACATTTTTAACGGTGGAAAGCCAACTGGTACCGCGACAGAGAACGCCATAGAACTGCTGGCCACCGAGACTTGGGGCAAACAGGCTCAGTCTGCCGCCGTTTCTATCCCTGGGATGCCTCAACAGGTTGCTCTTCGGACTGAACGTTACGGAGCGACTAATCCTGGCATAAACATTAAACAAGAACCTATCGATTTTAATAACTTTGACCATTTTCTTGATTTGGGACTTCTGGGTGACTTCTCTAGTGCAAAAGACAGACAGCAGCGTTCAGCGGCTAACAGTACCGCGGCTACTTGCGAATCTTCCCCTCTACCAAGGACCGTGACGACCACCTCATCGCTGCTGGACAGCTTCGGTGAAGCCGACCTTGGGCAGGACTTGACCGAAGGAATGCAGAATAGCTTAGACAGTTGTTCTAGTAATAGTAGTAGTTACCGAACACCAACCCACGGGAAGAACAAAGGTAAAAAAGCTGTGGATAAGAGCAGTGACGAATATCGACGTCGACGGGAACGCAACAATATCGCAGTAAGGAAGTCTCGTGAGAAGGCCAAGCAACGTAGCCGCGACACTGAACGAAGAGTTTCCGAGCTCAGCCGTGAAAACGAGTCTCTGCGTAGTCGGGTAGAGTTGTTGACCAAAGAACTGAATGTGTTACGGTCATTGCTCACTAATGTTGGAGTCCCACAAGAAAACGTGGACTCGGAAATTGCTAAGATTGTCCAGATCGACCGTTTTCAAAGCCGCATGCAAAACCTCTAGGCCTGAACTTACTAAGCCTACTAAGAGCGTATGTTTCAGTGGACCAGTGTTTCACTATTTAGACTGTTGCTTTGAGTTTGACGTAACGAACTACACTGTCATTTGTGTTCCCACAAATAATTTTATATGGAAATTTGTTGCTCCATTAATAATCGTAATTGCTTGTGTTATAATTATAGCTTTTTATATTGTAAAAGTTAAGGTTATTAGGTATTTGTTCTTTTTTAAAACGGATGTCCGGATAGGTGTTATGTATAATCATGAATTCTAAAAATTGTTGTACTGAAAGATTATATTAAATATTCATGATAACCTATAAGTTGATTTTATAATCTGTTGGATTTGTGGTTGATGGGCTTTGACTTGTTATTAATGTTGAACAAAGATTAGACTAGTCTATGTACAGTTGATAAATAAGACTTTGTATTTAAACTCGCACAACTATGTAACAAGCAACTGTAAATATTATTGGACTGTTTGCTAAACATGTACATATAAAATTCTTGTTTGTAGAATGATTGTAGATACGGAACGTTTACACAAACGAATGTAATATTGTGGTGTAAATAAAGTTTTTTTTATGTATGGATATTTGCCTCAAAGTTTGATTCCAAACTTACCATATATTTACAGATTTTAATAGTTATACGAATTGAATATTTCGTTCATGTAATAGTTTCGTGTCTATAATCTTTCGAGTTAAACGAAAACATTAAAAATACCTTTATATGATTGGCTGGATAATTTCGTGAAGATTTAATTTTGAACCTACTAATAATTTTAGTATTTATAATTTAGTGCGTTTAATTATTCACAATAAACAAAAATTAGTGTTTATAATTGGTAGAATTTCTGCAAAAGCTCTTGTTAAGCACAACTGGAGAAGTTTTTAAGACTCTTTTCACACTGACATCAAACCTCTGAATAGTGAGAGTTGTGTGTGGTTTTTATAACCAAGGCAGTACACTATTGTATACCTTTTTTTTAATTATGACGAGGCTGACATTTTATAATTATATGAGCATGTACACATAGCAGAATTATAATAAAATGACATGGTTGTGATTTCAAATGCATTAAAAGACATCTAAGATTAGTGTAAAAAGGCTTCTTTCAAGAAATAAAAAAAAAAAGTGGATAAAGATTGTATGGAAACAGAATTATAACAATTGTATGCAGGAAACTGCCGAAACATTGGATACCAACAAGCTTAATGTTTATGATAAAAAATCACATACTTTTTCATTTGTCTATCTCGCTTTTTCGAATCGAAGATGCGTAGAAATATCATTTTAGAGCTCTTTAATTTCCCACAAATTCAGTGCTGGAACTCGTCAGCTATATTGGACGATGACTAAGAACAACATAAAGACAAGCATTTATAGTTTACCGTGATTTTCATCACAAACATTAGGCCTCAGTTGTTGAACGAAAAGTAAAATATTTAAGAATCTCTTTTTTTTGTTCTGTCGTGTTGGATATTAATATGCAAATACAAACTTTAACAAAAGATAAAGTATTCCGAGAAAAAAAATAGGTTGAAGACCCCTTAAGTTATAGCATTTCTCATAGCTTTATTGTCCTACAGTTTAATTATCATATCAAAAACAAAGATGACAAAACCCTCCTTTCTGCATTGTTTAGGTAAAACATATTCACGTTAGTTAAAAATTGGATAAAGAAGAGTCTAAATCCAAGTTCCGATAGAGCAGGCTACATATTTGGAGCGAAATTAAAAATCAACCTGGTAATGAGTATAGTTAATAAATATACTTTTTTACGTCATTATTTATAATAATTAAAGTACATTGTTTTGTCAGTTCAATACCCTCGCTGTTACGATAT